CACTCTGTGAATACAAAATTACAATAAAAGCTGTTTACGTTTAAGTCTAAAAGCTTTTTGTTTACTTTAGCAGCTGTGAACCGATTGCAGCACAAACAAAACATTTTTGCTGCACAACATTGCCACAAAGTATCGACACCATTTTGGTTTAATTTGTTTTTTGACTTGTAGGTTGACCTTATGACCTTTGAACTTTCATCAATAACCTTAAAACAAAAGCAGTACAAACAGTCTTTTGCAAAACAAATGTGATTTAAATTGATTAACGAAAATGATGATTTGAAGAAGTCGTGTGTTTTTAAAATGATAGTGGCCGAACAACATTTTATGCCACTCAAACATTTTACACTTTAGTTTGATTTTTGCTATTGTGGGGGTCGGTGGTTGACCTTATGACCTTTAACATTCAGTTAATAACTTTAAAATGAAAGCAGCTTTGATCAAAACTTTTGCTGCACAAACATACTGTAACTTTATTGGCTGACACCGATTTAGTTTGACTTAAAGAAAGGGGCGGAGCAAAAGTTTATTCAACTATTGCCACTTATTCCAGGTAACAATAAAAGGTTCTACTGGATTCTCTTTGTTTTAGTCTTTTTCCTGCTTCACAAAGGCAGGCAGCAGCTTGACAAACCATGATGGCAATTATTCTACATCCAAGTAGTATGCAGTTCCTCATATATATACACACACATCAATTTCAAAGAGGTGGCATCAGTATGGTTCTCAGTATCAGCCAATACAGCACAGCCAGGTATCGGGTATCGGTATCGGCATCGGCGCAACACTATCATAAATTAGGCTTATCAGCTATGTTTGTTATGTTTCTTCCATTTCTCCAGACATTACCCGTGTCCTCCATTAGAGGCGAGCAGCGGCTGCACGCCTCAGGACATCCAGTGCCTTCACGTGTCTGTCTTCATAGCAGGTAAGGCACCACCATTGGAAACTTTTATTTCCGTCTTTATTTTCTACTCAGGAAGTTAAATAAGCCCCGCCCCCCATGTTCAGGGAGGTATAACAAGTTCTGCCGCAGCCTGCCACAGACTCCCTGGGTGATCGATGGAGAGAGGAGGATGGAGTCGTCTGTAGAGGAGCTGATCGCTGCTCCGATCCTGTCTGCCTTCAGAGCCGACGGTGAGTCCACTTTAACCCACAACTCGCCGGATGATGCGTCCAATCAGGGTTCTAGATGTTTATCGGAGTCGCAACCAAATCAAAGGGCTTTCGTAGTAATATTGCCGAACTGTTCTTGTTCCAAATCTTTATTCATCAGACTTTTTATGTCGCAAGTGTCTTTAGGGGGAGTTTTCTAAACAAATGGACCAGAAATAAAATAAAAAAGTTTTTTCTTAATTTAGAATCATTGATTGGATGTAGTAATATTGACTGAATGCTTTAAATTAGAGCTTGACCTCTATAGTTTATTTATACCAGTGGCTCTCAACCTTTTTGAGTCTTGACCTCCCATTAAAAATGCACTGCTGTCAAGGCAGTGTGGTCTCTTGACTGAATCATAAGACCGAGTGAAGCATCTCAGTTCTACAGTGTTTCATATGAACACACATTGATTGTATAATCATTGAATAAACCTAAAATAAGGTTTTACCCTGAGATTCAATGTCATCCGTCACCAGACCGCCGCGCTCAAGTACGTCGTGCGGAGAACTTACGCAGTCATGTTCATCAATGAGAGCAGTCTTAGCTATCAATGCGAACTGTTCCACCTCCACCGCTACTCCTCCGCACATCACCGTCCACGTACGTCTTCTCCGCACTTCACCGTCAAAATACGGAGCAAATCTATTTTCTCCTTCGCTCCGGTCTGATGGAAGCCGACCAGGTTAAGGTCTGCAGTTCGCACCAAACAGGAAAAAGGACGTTGAGAAGATCCAGTTTGTCAAAGTAAAATAGGGTAACAGCAGAATAGTAACCACTGATTAGACCATTAATAAGAAGAAGAATTGGATGCAAACTATTGGAACTTAAACAGAGACGGAAGCAGCTTTGTCATCTTGATCAAAATATTTATTTTATGCTGAAAGGTTTAAACAGTTCGTCAAATCCAGTCGCAACTTCCAAGAGCGCATCTAAGAACTTCCAAAGAAACTTCATATTGCAGGCACGGATGAAGAGCTGCTGATTTTGGAAGAAGAGAACCAACCAACTTTGATTTTATTTATCTCTATTACAAAGATCCACAATGAAAAGAAAATTTGGGGAACAGACTGCACATATGCTGGAAGCTGGTGGTGATTTTTTTTTTTTGTTATATATACCTATGAATTAACAAATAAAGGTATCGCACATGTTTTCCTCAAGCTCCAAGGAACTGCAGAGGCTGTAAGTGTTGCTTTGTGCAGACGGTCTAGAATGGGGCGGGGCTTAGCGGGGCTGTTATAGAGGATGTGGGATTTGGGGTTCATTTCTTTATCATCTGATTTTGAAACACTCTGGGATTTTAAAAAAAAACATAAAACGGCATCAAGAGGCTAATTTTCCAAACAGAGCGACGGCGGTCGCTGCATCTCATCATTCTGTGGTTAAAATGTAAACTAAAGCCATTAAATGTTCTTTTTAATAAAATAAAACGATAACAGCGTGTGCTAAACTTTAACAAAACACGTTAGAAAAGAGTCATGTTTATTTTGAAGACATTCTTAGAGCTTAAACGTGAAAATAACTTCCTGGTCCAAGGCAGATTGTTTTGCAGCGGCTGTTTGTTTGAACACAGAAGCTTTATGTTAGAAACAGCGAAAACTCTGTTGAGTCGAGATCTGTGGTACTTTTTCTTGTATTTCGGGGCAGTAAAGGTCTTTTCACAATGGAAACTTATCCAGGATTATTTGAGTCCGTTTTTTTCTTTTTAAGTGGAGCTGTCATGTCTCCATTAGAGCTGAACCTGCTGTTAGATTCAGATGGAGGATAAACATGACAAAGGAAGCCAAACCGTACCCAGCTATAGGTCCAGTCCTGCTCTGTGTGGAATTTAAGTCTTTAATTAGTTCAAATATCAAAAGACAGGAGCGATCCAAATAAAACAGTGTGATCAGAAAAAATAACAAACTGTTTTTTTATTGCAGGGTTTAATTTCTCCTCGTCGGGCAGAGAGGATGTGGATGTCAGAACTCTGGGAAACGGTGAGTTTCTTCTGCTTTATTGGATGGTTTTATTAACTCAGGTGATCTATACTGCTGATTGAAATGTTATTATTTCATGATTTAACTAAAACAAAAATCTATTTCTGTTAATAATAATCTCTCTGATGCAGAGCAACATTTGCTCTGCATCAGAGCTACTGTAGGAGCCTTACTAGTATTATTGGGTTTTTATACATCAGGTGATACGCATCATCAGGACCTGCTTGGTGGGCGTGTCCCTCTGGGCGTGTCCGGCCGGAGTCATCATATCTGTTGACAGCAACCGAGTATTATTTGTGCAGGCTGTTTGTAGCTTATCGTTTTATTCTTCAATTGGATATGGATTTCAATCTACTGAAGTAAACAATATCGCTACTGACAGAAGTGTTTTTCAGGCTCTCTAGGAACGTGTGTCTGACAGACGGACAGTTTAGCCCACGCCGATTCTCAGTTTGTCGCGTTTTGCCGCAATAAGTCCTTTTTTTTATGGGGCTTTTCTTTTAAACATTCATTCTAACTTTAACTTGATTTAAAGGAAATCTAACAGATACTATTCAAAGTAAGTAGGTCACCAGGTGACTTTGAACTCATCAGAGTGTTGGTTAGATGCTTAGAACAGATCAATATGTAGATGCACCATTTTATCCAACTGAATAAAAACAAAATTGTGGTAATAATCTTTGGAACAAAGAATAGATCCAAGGTTACCCTCCAAGCTTTAGCTACCACAGCTAGAAACCACTAAAATATTTGTGTCATGATGAACTCAGAGGCTCATAAAGGCAGTTACTAAATCAGCCTGAAGAACATTTCCAGGATTAAAGGATTAATGTCCAAGCAGGATTTACAAAAACTCATTCATGCATTTATCTTTAGTATAACTGATCACTGCAACGGTGTCTTCATAGCTTTTTTCTAAAAAGTCCATCAGACACCAGCAGCTGATCCAAAACGCTGCTGCCCATGTTCTCATTAGAGCTAAAAAAGTAGCAAACATCAGTCCGGCTCCTAAGTCCTTTCACTGGCTCCCTGTAGCTGAGAGAAGGGAGAGAGGGCCGCGGGCCGGATCCGGACCCATTTTCTGGCTAATCCAGAACCAACCTGATTTAAAACATTC